CAGTCTCATGCAGCCACAACCTCACTCCTGAGTTCGCTTGCATATCCATCTGTCTATTGGAAATATTCAAAAGAAGGAGGAGCAGCTTATTTCGACAGCTACAGAGGTGTAAGCTGCGTGAACCGCACCAGACATCTGGCATCGCATCCAGTACCTGCACCCGCTGATTTGGAGCCACCATTCATCTAACAGCCAATACTAGCAAGCACCAACACACAGAAAAACTGCTGCTACTAAGCAAAGCGCTGTGGCTACCCTTCAGTCATACGGCAAGCAAGACAGAGGCAACAAACAAGCAAGCAGGGTGATCGACGAGCAGAGGAACATGGGATAAAACGAACAAAAGAAGCACCTACAGGGGCGTTAAACAAAACAAACCCACGAGCACTTGTATAGACTAAAACGTAGAACTCAGGCTTCGTCTCTGGGCAGGAACTAGAGCATAAGGATGTTCCTGTTGACTGCTGAATGCCGTCCGTAGTGAATCACGGTGTGCTGCCCACTGCTCTAGATCTCAGCAGCAGCAGTTGCATTGGCAGCGGCAGCAACCCCAGCAACGCCAACCATCGCTACAAATGAGTAACAAGAGCGGCTGCCGGCGGAGCACAGGGAGCAGCAGTAGAAGCTGCGTCCTCAACATAGCGAACTGCAGAAGCAAGCGGTGGATTAGGAGGAACCAACCGGGCAGCAGAAACAACGCGCGCTTGAAAGGCTAGTGTGGCTGGAGCCCCTCTCTATGGATTCACCCACACCCTTAAAGGCTATAAGGCATACGAGGGCGTGGGGACGTCCATTTCTACTAGCGTATAGGTTGGCTTCTGAGTGCCNAAGGCTATAAGGCATACGAGGGCGTGGGGACGTCCATTTCTACTAGCGTATAGGTTGGCTTCTGAGTGCCATGAGAATATACAGCATTTGTATAGAGTAATACTCTATGTATCAAATGGGTTTATGGGTGAGCTTGTATGTGGGGCTGGTTCGCAGTAGGTGTTCCAGCAAGGCTTTCTTGCAACAGAAGAGCAGCTGGTTCCTCGCCGCTCGAGCCTCTGCAGCTAGACTGGGTTGGGGATCATCCTCTGCTTTTGAATACTTTCTTAACTGGATTACTTGAACTAAACTGCAGCTCGCTGCGGTTTCTTGCTAAGAATGAGGGCTCTGGTGTCGAGGATGTGGAGAGTAGTAGCTCTAGCTAAGCAGGGTACCGAGCACTGACGGCCAAAGTCTGAGCTCCTGAGTGAATCAGGATTTCTTCATTAGTAGTTATTCAATACAAGATTAAGGAACAATATATATTTAGCTGTTCATACACTCGGCACAACGTGCGCGGTAGTATAGGGGCTGCTGCCTTCGGCCTAGGAGGGGATCTGCAGTTCTTTGCAGGCCGACGGCTGCGTCGTTATTGTAGCTTTTTAAGGAGCTTCGGAAAGTGTAAAGCGGTAGAAATACAGAAAACAGTAGAAATTCGTGAATCTGTGTTCGTTTAATGTTGAGTATAATCGAGAGGTTGCTCCAGCCCCCATCGGCCGAGCGGGGCCGCAGGCACAGTGCGCGCTCAGTTGTTGCACTTGAAGCGGGTAATAAGAGGAGGCCTGTATGTGCTTGTTGCATCTTTGGGTATTTTACAAGAGGAGATTTATTTGAATTGTCGGGGGAAGGCTGAAAAGAAGTTTATATTCTTGTTGAGGCTCTGTTAGTCTGTTGCGGGGGCGCTGCAGGAGAAGAGCCTTACTACTCAGGGGAGGGAGGGAGGCGGCAACCCCTAATTTGTGTTTGGCTTTGCCGTCTTTCTTGCGCGTGTTTACCCCCGTTTTTCTTTTTTTTTCTACTGCATGCATCTGCGCGTGTAAACAATTTATTTTGGTTGTTCCAAGTGAGAGATGGATTGGCCTAAGGCAGGAGCTGCTGCTGCTGCACACTGGCCGACGCCGCCCTCGGGCAACCCCATCCCGTGAGCAGCGGTGGGGTGCGGGCTTTTGTTTGTTTTTAACGAACGGCGGCTTCCGACCTCTCTGTGTCTTTCTCTTTATTTCCCCCAAGTTAGGGGCCCTGGAGGAGGCGCTCGGAGAGGCGCCAGAGTCCCAGGATATTATTATTATAAACCCCAGGAGCATTTCGTCTGATCGCCCATGTCATCTGTTTCCTTGCCCGCAGTGTCTCGACACCAGATGGAATGGACTTTTTACGATGTATTTGCTGCTCTTGCGCTAAGCTAATCTATGCGAAGAACCCATGATGGTCCGCCGCTTCATATACTCTCGCCATTCAGCTGAACATATTGATCGGCGATTCGATTGAGTAATCTTCTTCTTTTTCTTTTCCGAAAGGGAATAAATATATATATATATATATANATATATATATATATATATACATATATATATATACACGCAGTCGTTGAATCAGCGAACTCTGGCGGCATCCGAGGCAAACAAAGGGAGATGTGCATTGCTTGTTCGCATGCCCCTCTATAATATAAACTGCAAAAGGACACAGCCTTGCTTAAGCGGGAGGTTTTGGTGTTTTTGTATGGCTGAGTAATCCTGCAGCAGTTGTTAGTTGGTGTGCCTCAACAACAGCTACCCGCGCTGCAGCTGGTTCTTCATCCACGGGGTATATACATACAGCTCTATATTGCTTCGTGGCTACGAAGTTTAGTAGTAGTATTCATCAGTACTCTGTGCATACATTGTATTGCATTTGGGTATTCTCTTTCAGAGAGGGCTGCTGCTCTCTTGCTGCAGTCTTCAGCACACATACATACACACATACACACATACATACACACAACAATCCTCGTGCTTGTTGTCGCTATTGTGCATCACATATGCAAATATATTATTAAGGTCATGGTAGGGTTTCTATACAACAAATCCCACCAGGCCTGTTGGAGTTAATAAAGAAAAAAAACGGTTTCGTTTATAAATATT